AGCAATAGTTTCATATCTCTTTAGGAGATACCGCTGCCATATATCGTACGTTAAACGCAGAACTAATCTATCTAAGGCAAGAGTACTGATAACAAAAGCCTGGCTTCGGCCGATAAGCAAGCAGTCGACCAAACCGACTGTTCTAGAAACCAGTTTGGATTCTGGGTCGGTTCTTGCCGAGTTCCCTACCGAGAGTACGAAAGGTTGTACCAGCGGCTCCCGGCTCCCGCTGCTCCGGCAACCTTCATTTACATTCTGTCCGGCGTTACCATGTGTAACGTTCCATGACGCGGGTCTGAAATTAACTTCCAGCGCCCCGTCACTTCGTTATCGTGCAGCCGGAGGCCGCCCCGTGCATGGACGAGCGCGAATCATTCAACAGGAGCGACCGGAGATACACCTGCATCGCATCCGAGTCGCAATTTAGGAACGTGGAGTGCATCGGGCCGCTGCCGACATCGGCATATTGATCCCTTGCTCCTGTTCAGACATTCCCTTACGCTCGCGCGCGTCGCCCGTCTCTTCCTTACGTAGACGCGAGGCGGAAAAAACTGACGGAGGGATGATGTCTGGTATTGGCCGCGGTCGCGTGATCGATCGGACGCCGCTCCGCGAACGGAAGGAGGAGGATGGTACTTTAGCGCGAGAGAAATTTCCGCTCTCGCACCACAAACGCGGAACTACTTAACTTAAAAGCCGCTAAAACGACGATGTACCAAGGACGGAAGGGGGGGGGGGGAAGGGAGGAGGAAAATGAGATTTGTTACGAAAACGTAATATCCCTAAAATACATGACAGAAGATTTCCATAAAAATCTAAGCGTAGGTCTGCGACGTTCACGGTGAAGCTCACGTCTATTTATTTTTGCGTACAGGCGCCTCCTTTCAGAATATGATGATATTTATAATGATGTGAAAGAGCCTTATATTCACATATTTTGCAAAAATATCCTCACATCATCGTTGCCACAAATGCGTTTTGCTTTCGCTTTCTTCTAGTTCTCTTATATCACTTTTATTATTAGCTGTTTATTAATCTATTATTAACCGCGGCTTTATATAAGATTCAAAGTTCATCGAGAGAACGATAGTTTTAATCTTACCAAGAAGTGATAACTTTAAATCTCTGCATTTTTGAAATTAGGAAGACCAAAATTCTTATTTGCTAGTCATTTTTATTGACATGCAAATGAAAAGATTAAAAATTGCAAATAGTTATATAAAATAAAATCACATTTTGCAATTAACAAATTTAAGTGTATGAAGAAATATCAATTTAGCGTCGAAAAAAATAATGTTAATTCTCGATACATTTTTGGATCTTTTGATTTTAAATGATATATTGTAATCACCATAAATCAATATAATTATAATTATCTCATTTATAATTCTTAATAAAAATTAAAGAATCTCGAATTATTTATTATACTACTATATTTTATCGAAATTTTTCTCTCATAATTGCGGATTAAAAAACCTTTCGAGCGATTGGTTTCATTCATTTAAGTAACATAAATTTTCTTAACATTTTCAAATCAAATTTTATCACTTGACATTTTCTAATCTATCTACTATCTACTATTATCTAGGAAATATTTTATATTGACTTTTATTTTTATTTTCTGTGCTTTTATCTCAAATAATGCGGCAATTAATTCATCTGTTACATTGATGATTCTATCATAACTACTAATATTATTACTGTTATCATTGAAAAATCATTTTGCAGCATTTTTATTTATATTTTGTTTTTGTAAAATCCCCGATTATTCTGTTGTTTGTGCTCGTCGCTTTATTCTGCATCCTCTCTTTATCAAGTATCTTCTTTATCAAGTTATAAGCTCACGGATTTCCGTCGTCACGATCATTCAGACGATAGCTCGTCGCGCGGCGAGTCACAGTCGTAATGACGCTTTTTGTGATAGCGAAGGATTGCGGGAGCATCAGCGGGTCATTCGCACGCAAGGATCATGAGTACAAGCACGTCACCGCCACCGCAGTGCTCGTACCTCGGCCGATGGCTCGATCATCGCGTCGGCGTCGGCGTTCTATGATGGTAACGGCATCGGCGTCGGCGTCGGCGTCGGCGTCGGCGTCGGTCTACGGAGACGCGTTCGCGCCGGGTAGCTTCGCGTCGCGGCGCTTCGCGTCGGCGTCGCTGGATCGTCCGCGAGACGGATAGACAGTGGTGGCCAAGGCACCGTGTAAGCGCGTGTAATCGCCATATTGACCGAACTCCGGACGACAGCTCCTCGCGGGTCGCGGAGCTTTAAAGCTCGCGGTAGCTTTTTCGACCGTTGTCTGCGTTGTAATAAACGAGGGATACGCGCATAAAGTGGAGCGAGAGCTAGCGGTCCCCACGCGGAAAAAGAGGCGGCGAGAAAAAGACACGCGATAATACCGGATACGCCTTTGAACGCCGCGTCGGACAGTGAAAAGAGCTAAAGAAGAGAGAGAGAGAAAGAGAGAGAAAGGGAGAGAGAAAGATAAGGTATAACATGCGAATGTATCAGTGACAAGTGTTCGCGCGACATTAACCAAGGGAGAATCGCGACGATCGATCGTGGTGGTGCATCCGAGTATCGGTATCGATCTTCCTACTCCGGGCATACACTCTCTCTCGAGCCACATCTTTCGAAGATTTTTTTTTCGTTAGGACCAAAGTTCCAGCATCGGATTCTGCATTGCTTCCATTTCACGCCATATCACACTTGACTCCGGACGTAGATCAACAAGAAAACGCCGACGTGCTCTGAAAACAGCAAACTGCACCTCGCTGTTCGAAATGGTACGAGAGAGAATCAACGACTTCCAACATAATTATCATCGATAAATCCGAATCTCTTCCTGAAACTGATCTTCCTAAGAAATTTTTCCGTACGACCAACCTCGCGGAGGCAACGATCAACGCTCGATCGGAAGTCTTCCGACAAGATACCGAGCGGTCAATTGACGAGAAGCTAACACGAAGATAGTCTTCAGCAGTCTACCTTGCCGGCGTGACAGCGCGCCACGGGTTCGTCTCTCCCTCTGGTCCCGACTGCTGCCAATCAATAAC